ATATATATGAATATTAATTACGTACGAGCTTGGTTAACTTGTTTCATGCAGATGAGAACAGTTATAGCTGAAAATTTACCAGATGACCACTCTCATCAGAAAATCGAGACGATGTTTAATGTGGTTGGAAGGTAAAGGAAATTTTTTTTGCATTGTTCTTTAAAATTTCGATTTTACGGCATGTCAAAATTCGTAATAACCCTCAACGAGTTAATGCATTATGCATTGTTTTTATATTTATTCAGCATCAAGTCTATCAGAATATGTCAGCCACAGGAACACAATGCTTCGCGGTCTAATAATACAGACGTAGTTGTCAGTCATAAGGTATACTATCAATTCAAAAACTATTTATTTTTATTACGTTATATTAAAATTCACGTGTTTTCCGTGTTTTCTATTGTAGCTCCATGCGCTGGTAGAGTATGAGAATGCTGAAACAGCTGAGAAAGCGGTGTGTGTTTTTTTTTAAATAAAATTTAAGAAAAAAATGCGTGTTTTTGTTGAAATGTTTTATAAATTTGTTAATCGTTAGGTTGAAAAGTTAAACGATGAAGGGAACTGGAGGAAAAGCATGCGCGTGAGGCTTATGCTAAAGCATTCGGTATGAGATGAAATTAAGCACTCGTTAATTTCACAAATATATGTATGTAATAATCGATCTTTTTCTTATTCGACTAATAACAACATATTTGACGTAATAAATGGTAATGTGCAGCCTAAGACTGTGACAAAGAGCCGAAAGCTGGAAAATTTCGATGGTTTTGTAGACGACAATGGGTCGATCCATCATTCACCCGAAGATGCCCCTCGGAATAACACCTCAGAAACAGAGGTAAATATTATTTTTGTTTCTACCATTTTTTAAGTACTAATTCGGTTTCACATTTCTAGCTATAATACTGATTTTCCTTTTGCAACAAGTTCAATTAGTTTGTTATCTGATCAGGTAAGTTTCATAATTTTTGGTCGGAAAAAAAAAAATGAACAACTAAAACGAACAGCCTTAAATGGTCTTCATATGATTAACTTTGTTTGGTGTGATGCAGTCGGACGAGAACTCAAAGAAAAGTTGGCCCAGAAATTGGGCCAAGACCAAGCAACGCCATTTTCAAGGCACACGCAGCCCGCCCACACCATCGTCACACTCAATGGGCTTGTGCCCAGGCCAGCAGCCCATGAAGGGCCCAAGAATGCCCGATGGAACACGAGGTTTCACCATGGGCAGGGGTAAACCGCTGGTTGTCCGGGCCCAGTCCAATTAAAGAGATAAACTCTGGTGTATGTATCATCATCATCATCATCATCATCATCATATAATAGAGCTCTTACAAAAGATGTAAACCACATCAAGGGACTGTTATAAAACTGGATTTGTTGAGATTGGACTTGTTGATTGATCATCACATAATTAAAGATCGTCTCATGTGTGCTTGGAGGCTCTGCTTGGGCGCTATTTTTGCAGTTAATTCTATTGAACGAACTTGCTTCGTGTTGTCAACTAGCAAGAGAATTTAAAGCGATAAAGACCCCTTTTGTTTTTTTATACCAAAAACTACGGTTTTTTATTTTATCGATCGAATTATGCATCAATTTCCTTTCCATCTCTTTTCTTCTTCTCTCTTTTCTTTTTATTTTTTGTACTCTGTCTATCTAACTAATTTGTCTTTTTTTTCCTTATAAAGTGACAGAATTGGTTGCCTAAATTAAGATCTTGAATATATAATTTGGTATATACGAAATCTCTCTATATATTTGTTGTCAAACGAGAATTAACAACTATATAATCAATATGGATTTGTAATAAACTTAAGATAGAGCAATAAAAGCTTGTATGAGCGGTGAAAGGAGATAGAATTTTTCTGGATATTATTGTATGTGTCTCTCTTGGCTGGCTTGGAGAACTGTTTTCTCCTTTTATATTTATTTACAACATTTATCTAATATGTAATCATTACACAAGAATAGTCAACGGCGGCTAATTGCCATTCATTTTGATAACGTGCCACTTGGCCAGGTGTAATGATGAGTTGTGCTGAGTTGGCACCGCCTGATGAGGATCGTGTGTTTTGACTGTCGATAAGCCACAAACCAGTGCCTTGAATCGCCGATAGTTGCCTAGAGGTTCACAAACCGCACCCCGCTAAACGATATAATTGCTATAGAATCTTGGTGAAAATCTAAAGCAAAGAGGATGAACAAAAGTTCTTGAGTTCTTATTAATTCTTCAATGATGATAAATAACATGGGGGTTGGTCCTTTATATAGGCACCAAATTATATCTAGTCCTAATCTACCTAGGGAAATAATAAGCAATAAAATATTGAGTATCCTAAACAAGCTAGAAAATATAATACTAGAAGGAAACTAGATAACTTGGCTTGCACTCCAAGTCTTTCTCTCTCTCTTGCTCTCGCGCACGCACGCCCTCGGTTGGTCGCCGCCCTCGCCCATGCCCTAGCCCTCGCGGACTAGGGCTCCGTCCCTTTCGCGCGCGTGTCGCCCATCCGGCGTGCTGCGCACGCCATTGCTACCCGCCGCCTCAGCGCGCGCGTGCCCCCCCGCCATACCGCAGTCCTCAAGGACTGCGGCCTCGCGTCCCGCGCGTCCAGCCCCGCCCAGCGTGTCGCGCACGCCTATGCCCCCGGGTGCTGCTTCGCGCGCGTGCTGTCCAACCTTCCCGCATGCCTCGAGGCATGCGGCTTCGTCCGTTGCGCGTGCATCCCTTGCGCCCGGTCTTTCCGCGCGCGCACGCATCGACCCTGCGCCACGCACGGCTGGCCCGTCTATGCCACGCATGCCAGCCGCGTTCACCGCCCGTGTGTCCGCGTGCAGCCTATCCCTGCCCATCTCGTGCGCACTTCGCTCTAGCACGCGTACTTCTGCCGTCGCTCGTGCTTGCCTCTTGCGTGCGTGGTAGGCCCGGCTGGCCGCGTTCTTGAGCTGCCTAGCCACTTCCGCATCACCGCCTTATGGCGTCGGTTTAGCGAGTCATAGATATCGGTTCGAGCAGTTGTAATCGATATACCGTATCCGACATGTAGTAACCGACATGTCATAACCGACGTGAGATATCGGTCAATCGACGACGATGTCGGTTCATAACGAATTTTACCCGACAAGTGATTGTCTCGAAATTAGTGTCAGAGCCTCGAGATCCGTAAAGGCATCATCTACTTCATAAGATTTCGACCATCCTTCTACTAAACATAATCAAGTGGTCAGCGTCGCCTAATTCGGTTCACTGAAAATGATGTCAACAAGGTGGCCCCCAGCATTAATGGTTGTCTTGAAAGAGACGAGCAATGATGCTGATGATTCCCTGATACCCATTTAATCTTTGGCAAGGGAGACATGTCGGTTTTGCGAATGTTTTTCCGATATCTTCACACTTGGCTGAAATAATACTGAGAGTTGAAACGGCACAATTTATTAGGATTAATTGCAACGTTTACTGATAGGGGTAACGGTCTTTTTTATTAGGCCACGTAACCGTTGATAATAGGCACGACTCTCAAGAGTTGCGTCGACTCGCGAATTGAGAACGTGTGGCCTACGCGCCCCTATTTCTTTTGGTTTCCAACGGTCGCTATTGAATTCAGGGCTTAGTATAAATAGGAAATCTTCTCTTGAGATCTACTTTACTTTGTAATAAACTTAAGATAGAGCAATAAAAGCTTGTATGAGCGGTGAAAGGAGATAGAATTTTTCTGGATATTATTGTATGTGTCTCTTTTGGCTGGCTTGGAGAACTGTTTTCTCCTTTTATATTTATTTACAACATTTATCTAATATGTAATCATTACACAAGAATAGTCAACGGCGGCTAATTGCCATTCATCTTGATAACGTGCCACTTGGCCAGGTGTAATGATGAGTTGTGCTGAGTTGGCACCGCCTTATGGCGTCGGTTTAGCGAGTCATAGATATCGGTTCGAGCAGTTGTAACCGATATACCGTATCCGACATGTAGTAACCGACATGTCATAACCGACGTGAGATATCGGTCAATCGACGATGATGTCGGTTCATAACAAATTTTACCCGATAAGTGATTGTCTCGAAATTAGTGTCAGAGCCTCGAGATCCGTAAAGGCATCATCTACTTCATACGACTTCGACCATCCTTCTACTAAACATAATAAAGTGGTCAGCGTCGCCTAATTCGGTTCACTGAAAATGATGTCAACAAGGTGGCCCCCAGCATTAATGGTTGTCTTGAAAGAGACGAGCAATGATGCTGATGATTCCCTGATACCCATTTAATCTTTGGCAAGGGAGACATGTCGGTTTTGTGAATGTTTTTCCGATATCTTCACACTTGGCAGAAATAATACTGAGAGTTGAAACGGCGCAATTTATTAGGATTAATTGCAACGTTTACTGATAGGGGTAACGGTCTTTTTTATTAGGCCACGTAACCGTTGATAATAGGCACGACTCTCAAGAGTTGCGTCGACTCGCGAATTAAGAACGTGTGGCCCACGCGCCCCTATTTCTTTTGGTTTCCAACAGTCGCTATTGAATTCAGGGCTTAGTATAAATAGGAAATCTTCTCTTGAGATCTACTTTACTTTCATCTTCTTCTCGCAATCGTCTTTTTTGCTTTCCTCGTGAATTAATCGTCTCTCAATTGTACTCAGAACATCTCAGATATACGAACTACTTCCTGTGGTAAGAATTTCTCTTTGTATTTCGTTTATTTACTCCGACTTCTCTTTCTTTTTCTCGACATCATGAGTGTATCGTGGGTGTCTTCTGGTGACGATGAACTGGATGTGATGATGATCAACATGGTCCACTCTGGGGAGATGGAATTGTTGTCTGAGTATAACCAGTGGGACCCGATATTTGTCGAACGGTTGAATATTCGGCTAAACGATAGCGAGGGGGACAAAATCATAGAGAAAAACGCCATCGATGACTCAAGATTCTGGAGGTGACCCATTAGGAGATGGCCGGACCCCAAACTTACATCCCATGGTGAACCGAGTATCCTTACTGATGCCGACGTTGTTATGTTGCGGAGTGAAATCCGAGTCCCCACGTCGGTACATTTGTTTGCCCCATACCCAGGTAAGAGGATTACATGTCCTCCACCCAAATGCGTCGGTGTGTTCGCTGAGGGTCTGAGATCAGGCTTGCGATTCCCTTTGCCGCGCATAATTACTGAATGTTTGCGGGACTGGGAATTTCCGATATGTCAGATCACTCCAAATTCATGGAAGCGTATTATCGGACTACTGGTGCTCTTCGCCGAAAAGAATTGGGATTTACCGTCGGCGAAGGATATGAGGAGCATGTTTACATTCCGGAAGAGCCCAGATAGACAAGTGTCTGATCCACTTCTCACTTTTTCCATCGTCGGTAAACCCCAACCAAGAGTCAAGGTTGGCGAATTAATAATGGAGGTCCCCGACACATTACACGGCTTCCAAGAGGAATGGTTGTGGGTCGGTGGGGATATGCAGTGCCCCGATTTCGCTAATGATCTTCTCGCCGATGGGACAAGCATCCCAATGGCTATTAAATCTGGTTATTGTAAGTTGTTCACCATTTTCTTCATTTCGGTTATTAATATCTTGTTTTTTGTTTTCGCTAACAGGTGGACTTTTGTGACCTTGTAGAAAAACCAACGGGAAAGAGAGAACCCAAGTTCGAAGGCTTACTGTACGATCGGGTGGACAAGTTGTTCGAAGTTTCTCACAATAAGCGACGATATCAACGGCTTGTGAAAGATTCCCGATTAGAGCTAGCTGGTTTGTCTCCTGGGATACTTGATTCTTCATTTCAACCAGGTAATTTTCTCACTCATTCTGTCTTATCTCTTGCATGGGTGAGGTCGGTCTAACTTTAAATTCTCTGTAACAGTCTATTATCCACTGCTGGGATACTTCGGTTTTGGAGATCCCGTAGAGGCAGGAGAACATCGGAGGCGTAATCCGAATTTAGATTTGAAGAACAAGGTCAGAAAGAACAAAAACCTTCGATCTACAGAGATGGCCGGGCGCATGAACCTTCTGAAGTCATGGAAGAAGAACCCCAACCGTTCTCAAAGCGCTGTTGGTGAACCATCGTCCACAAGGGTGGAACCGTCACCGGCGATCGTTAGTGAGCCGTTGGTTACCGACGTCCCACCACTTGAAGTCGCTCCAATTCAACAAGTGATGACGTCGGTAGAGGAGCCTACTGTGGAGACCGACATCATGCGAGAGGTGTCGGAAGGGCCGCTTCTTAACGTGGTCCAACGGCGTAAGAGATCCAG